GGAATGAACCTCAAAAGGACAAGAGATGACAAGTGTTGGCAAGGACGTGGAGAAAAGGGAACCGTCGCGCCCCATTGGTGGGAATGCAAACTGCTACAGCCCTTGTGGAAGAGTATGGAGGTTCCTCAAAAAATCAAAAATAGAACTACCCTGTAATCCAGCAATTTCACTCTGGGTATTTATCTAAAGAAAACAGAAAATACTAACCCAAAAGATCTATGCACCCCATGTTCATGGCAGTATTATTTACAAAAGCCAAGACCCAGAAGTGATCTATGTGTCCGTTGATGGATGAATTGATACAGAAATTGTGGTATATATACAATGCAGTATTATTCAGCCACACAAGAGAAGGTCATCTTTTTTTTTTTTAAAAGATTTTATTTATTTATTTGACAGAGAGAGACACAGCGAGAGAGGGAACACAAGCAGGGGGAGTGGGAGAGGGAGAAGCAGGCTCCCCGCAGAGCAGGGAGCCGGATGCGGGACTCGATCCCAGGACCCTGGGATCATGACCTGAGCTGAAGGCAGTCGCTTAACCAACTGAGCCACCCAGGCGCCCAAGAGAAGGTCATCTTGACATGTATGACAACATGGATGGACCTTGAGAGCATTATGCTAAGTGAAATAAGTCAGAGAAAGACAAATATTGACTGATCTCTCTTCCATGCGGAATCTAAAAACAAAACAAAACCGAATTCATAGATACACAGAACAGACTGGTGGCTGCCAGCCATGGCAGGTGGGAGGGGGCTGGAATGGGTGAAGGGGGTCAAAAGGTACAAATTTCCGGATACAAAGTAAATAAGTCCAGGGGATGTAATGTTCAGCCTGGTGACTATAATTATTAATACAGTATTGTATATTTGAACGTTTCTAAGAGAGTAGATCTTAGAGTTCTCATCACAGGAAAAAATATGTGTAACTATAAAAAAAAGAGAGAGAGAGAACCATGCATATGAAATGAGTTACATGCACAGGGCATTGTGGGGCACACGAGGGGTCGCCAACTGAGGCAGTCCACGATAAGAACTACGGAATATGGAACTGGTCTCATCATTCTCTGGGCCGACCTCTTTGAAAGAAACCAATTTGATATAAATCTACATATAAATTTAATGTACGCTCACATTTCATTTTTCTAGCACTCTTGGTATTATTTTAGTTAAGAAAGAGAAGGGAACTGCATTTATGGACTAGCACGATTTTCACATGTTCCAATCCCCACCCCACCCCTTAAGTCCTACAACGCTTCCCTGAGCTGATTTTATTATTTTTGTGTGTGATGCACAGTTTTTGACAACTGAGGGTCCGGGGGATATTATGGTCAGCTGCCCTTCCAGCAGCTCCAGTCCTCTGCCTTTTGTGCAGTACTCACATGGTTTAGGTGGAAGGGACCCCAATCCCAGCTTTAGGGGTGAGCCTGCACGTGTCTAAGCTCATTAGAGTATGTCTCTGGCCACTATGATGGGTTCAGAGACAGGCAATTAACCCGGGTCAGTCAACCAACTTCTGCAAGACAGCAGAGCCAAGAGAACTGCAGAAAAACAAAACTAGAGCTTTGACGATCTCATGAATCTCCAGAGCAAACCATATAGCTGGAGGGCATCCAACTATTACACTTTCTGGTTACAGGAGCCAGTAAAGCTACCTGAAGCCAGGGTGAGTGGCAACCAAATAAACTTGAACTGATACAAAGTGGGTCACTGAAATGTATCCTCCTCCTCAATAGGGGTATTAACTGGGTTTTATAGATGTGCAGCACTCCTCTCTTTATTAATTCACACCAGCCGCATGTAGTGGGAAGGGCTAATGTATTTTTCCATCGATGCCCTGGGAAGGTTCATGTGACTCCAGATCTCTGGGATACAGGGGCTGGAGTCAGGGGGCTCTCTTAGATCCTAGCCCTGGCTGCTCTAAAAGGCTATACATGCCTGGGGCTCTTGGGTGGCTCAGTCAGTTAAGCAGACGACTCTGGATTTCAGCTCAGGTCATGATCTCAGGGTCGTGAGACCAAGCCCCATGTTGGGCTCCACGCTCAGCAGGGAGTCTGCTTGAGATTCTCTCTCTCCCTCTCTCCTGGCTCTCTCTCTCTCTCAAATAAATAAAATAAAATAACATTAAAATAAAATAAAATAAAATATTACACATTCCTGGCTTTCTCCTGCTTCCTCCTCCACCTCCTAGGATGGTCTAGAATTTCTTTGGTAGTTACTGCTCCAGAGATAATCCTAAGCAAAACCTTCCAGTAAACTCTCCCTAAGAAGTGATGAGAGGGCGCCTGGGTGGCTCAGTCAGTTAAGCGACTGCCTTCGGCTCAGGTCATGATCCTGGAGTCCCAGGATCAAGTCCCGTGTCGGGCTCCCTGCTCGGCGAGGAGCCTGCTTCTCCCTCTGACCCTCCCCTCTCTCATGCTCTCTCTCTCTCTCATTCTCTCTCTCTCAAATAAAAATAAATAAAATCTTTAAAAAAAAAAAAAAGTGATGAGAAATCCTTAGTCGCCATCCTCGGGGCATTCACTGGGCCTCTCATATTTCCAGAGGTTAAATCAAGTAGGAAAAGTTTACAGGACTCTGGCTTCTTGGCTTACTTGGTTTCTTGAAGCTGAGCCCGGAAGGAATGATTTTTTAACCATCTCTGAATGCCTTCGGAGCTGCCCACCAAGTCTCGGAACAGGAGCTGACAAAGGCAGCCCCAGGAGACAGCTGCAGCCCGGGTGGGTGCAGAGACACCGGTCAGTATAGCGCTTCAAAGCCTCAGAGTCATTTCCCCCGCTCATCCTCAACTCCTGGTCCAGCTTTGTCTGGAGGGTGGTTCGGATACACCGCGCCCGAGCCTTTGTCCCCTGAGGCCCTCTCTACCCCTCCTGTCTAGTCCACCCTACTGCACACACCATAACCTGGACAGTGTCCCTTGGAGGCCATCTTGCCCCCAGGCCTGCTCAAGAGCCCATCGAAGCCCCTCAGAGGAACCCGGGCCCTCAGTCTGACCTTCGAGGCCCTGCTCAAAGGCCTGTCCTATCCCCAGTGCCCACAGCTCCTCTGAGTTTTTGACTACTGGCCAGCACAGCTACATGGTAACCAGCCTGCTCACCAGCCCAGCAGGTGAGCTTGCCCGCTCCTCTTGCCAATCACTGTGAACCACACATGTGGAGGGCAAATGAATCAAAGGTCCCACTCCGCCCCCAATGCTGGACAGGCTTCTCCTTGCAGGGCACTCAAGTTCTCTTCCTGAAATGAGCTGTTTATTGACTTGTTCATATCCTTGTCCTCCTCCTTCCCTCAAAGGAGCATATAAACCATGGGATGTAAGCTTCCAACTGAGCATATAAACCATGAGGGCATTGGCCACCTCTCAATGAATCCCAGCACTTGGAAAAATGCCTGGGGCAGAGTGGATGGGTTTATAACTTTGTAATAGTCATGAGGAAGACAGATCCCAGATGAATCTCTTCAGTTCATTTCCTAAAACCTCTCCACCTTAACCCACATTGGGTTTTCCAGTTTCCGTCCGTTCACAGTGGGATATCCATCCATCCCTGCCTCAGTGTTCCACTGAATAAACTCTTCTTACTGGACATTGATTCCTTAATAACAAAAAAAAAATGCACCTTTTCCTGAACGTCTACGATTTTGCTTTCACTCCCTGAGAAGTGACATTTTTCTCCCCATGGAAAAATCTATCTTGCAAATTGCGAGATGTCTGTAGTCCTCCCCAAAGCCATTTCCTTTGGAAGAAGTCTGTGGTAGCCAACACCATCCCGGAATTAAATAGTGGTTCTACCACATCTGGCAACTTAGACACTTGCATCTGCCATTCTGTTACCAAGACAGTTCCTGCCTCTCTCAACCTCTGTTCATTTTGGAACCTGGCCTCCCAAGTCACCTCCTCCCTGGTGCCCTACCACTCCTGGACCTATTAATTTCAGTTCAAAGGGTTCTGTCTACCTTTTACACATAATCCCTACAGATGTCCAGTCTAGGACCATAGCTCCAGTCGGTCCTGAGCTAAATTCTCGTGTCCTTCACTTTTTTGTCCAACATCTCTCCATCTCCAGCTTCTCTGTCCCGGTGCTCACCCCCCCAACACACCCCGGCCGCGAGCCTCCGCGCACCGCCCCCCCCCCCCCCCCCCCCCCCGCCCCAGCTCGATTACCTGGAGCTTGTGTAACCGCAGAACGTAGCCTTGCACTAACAGCTGGAAGAAGAAGCGCAGTTGCCCGGGCCCTGGAAGCTCCTCCAGGGTCCGCAGTCTCCGGTCGCCAGGCCCGTTTCCAGGAGTCTCGGCGGTAACCGGGACGGCGGCGGGGATCGCGGCCTTGGCTCTGGCCCCGTGCGGGCAGAGGCCAGGGAGGGCCACCCGCGTCCCCAGCAGCGCCCACCGCAGCCTCGCGCCCCGCAGCGCAGCCAGGCGATCCATGGCCCGCGCCGCCGCGCCTTTGGACCTCGAGCGAAGAGCGCCTGGAACCCACTCCGAGATCTATCCGGAGGGGCGGGTTCAAGGGCGCCAAAGGCTAGGGGTGGGCCGGGCGAAGGCCGGCCAGGCCCCTTACCGCTCACTTTTCCTCGCGGTCCTCGGTCTCTCCCCGACGGGACCTCACGAACACGCAGAAGCCACCTCCTCCAGCCGTAAGCCTGCGGCCCGGGGGGAGGCGCCGGCCAACACGACTGCAGAGGATGCACCCCGGGATTTACCGAGACCTCCAGAGCGCCGATCGCGGCCCCCTCTTCCGCGACTCCCCGCCTTGCACTTCCGCGGACTCTCAAGGAGAACTTGAAGTTCCTTGGTCTGACATTTCATTCGCAGGACAGCAAAGTTCTCGAAAGCTCCGGGCGCTTCCAGGCCAGGAAGCCCGAGCCAGCGAGCCGGGCCCTCGCCTGACCTACAGGTTCGCTACCGCAGAGCCCCCTCGCCCCAGTGTTCCCCCTTCCCCGAGAGCAGGAACCGGCTGCTGAGATTTAACTGGCCGCCGGCTTTTCATAATGCGCACCACCCCCAAAGCAAAGAAAAAGAAAAAAAAAAGAAGAAGAAGAAGCAAACAAAGCAGAGCACAGCGAAGAAAAGAAAACCGGCCCGTGTCCAAGGTCATCTGATTCCTGGAGGGTAAAAGCCAAACAAACAAATTTACATATTAGAGGTTTGTTAATGCATTTCTATTCTCTCCACACTCCTAAATCAGCTAAGGCAGGGTTTTCCAAACTGTAGGTTGAGCCCGGATTTAGGGACTGTGACCAGAATTATTTTTTAATAAGATGGAAAAGAATAAAATAGTACAGAAAATACTGCCAAGAAGAAAGAGTAGTGTTTCATGAATCCTTTGTCTTCTATATATTCAAGGTACATTGAAACGTTATTTCTATTTCAAAAAGTTAAAAGCAGGATGGTAAATCTTGTTCTAAGAACATTGGAAGAATTGGTTATTTACAAACAGCCAGAGGGAGAAAGGCCATTTTAGGTTCAAAGAGGCAACAATTAGAGGGTCAGTTAATGTGGCCTAGGTGTGGATTTATGTTTGTATTTATCCCATTTGGGGCCATAGGGTTTCTTAAATCTGTGACTGAAAATCTTTCATCAGTTTGGGAGTTTTTCAGACATCTGTTCAAACATTTCTTCAATCCCATTCCTTTTTCTCCACCCCCCTTCTAAAACTTCAGATTATACCTATGCTAGGGCTTGTGACCGATCCTTCCTGTCTCTTACCCTCTCTCCTGCATTTTTTTAACTTTTGTTTTTTTAGGCAGGCCCCACGCCCAGGGTGGAGCCCAAGTGGGGCTTGAACTCAGGACCCTGAGATCAAGAACTGAGCTGAGATGAAGAATTGGTCGCTTAATCGACTGAGCCATCCAGGTGCCCCTCTTCTGCATTTTTTTAAAATTATCTTGTCTCTTCTAGCTCCTTAATCCTCAATTCAGCTGTGTCTAAACTGCTGTTAAATCTGTCCATTGAGGGCACCTGGGTGGCTCAGTTGGTTAAGCGACTGCCTTCGGCTCAGGTCATGATCCCGGAGTCCCGGGATCGAGTCCCGCTTCGGGCTCCCTGCTCAGCAGGGAGTCTGCTTCTCCCTCTGACCCTCCCCCCTCTCATGCTCTCTCTATCTCATTCTCTCTCTCAAATAAATAAATAAAATCTTTAAAAAAAAATCTGTCCATTGAATTCTTAATTTCAGCTATTGTATTTTTCAGTTTTTAATTTTGAATAGTTTTTTTAAAATCTATGTCCTTTTTTATATTTCTAGTTTTATGTCAGAATTCTTAGTTTTATCTTTTATTATTCCCTTATATTTTGTAAACATAGTTGTTTTAAGAATTATGAGTAATAACTCCAATATCTGGGTTCTACATGAAACAGTTTCTGTTGTCCATTGTTTCTAGTGGTTTTTGTTCATGTTGCGGTATTTCTTCCTGGGCCTGGTTGCTTTTGATTGTGTGCCAGAAAAATGCATTGTTTAAGTTTCTGGTGGAGCTCATTAAGGTTTAGGATGATTTCATTTTCCTCAGACAAGATTTACTTTTGTTTCTGACAGTTGCCTGAAGGCACAAACAACCCAGGATGAGCCTAATTCAATTTCAGGAGTGAGATTCTTTGAAGCCAAGCTGCAATCCTAATCAGTCCTTAACCCTTTGGGATCCCTACCTAAAGTTGGGTGTAAGAGATCATGGATTCCAACGTTTCTTCACCCAGTTCTGTGAGGCTAAACCACTCAGCTTCCTCTAATGAAAATGTGGGGGTGCCTGGGTGGCTCAGTCAGTTAAGCGTCTGCCTTTGGCTCAGGTTGTGATCCCAGGGTCCTGGGATCGAATTCCGCGTTGGGCTCCCTACTCAATGGGGAGTCTCCTTTTCCCCGCTGCTCGTGATCTCTCTCTCTCTCTCTCTCTCTCTCTCTCCCCCCGATAAATAAATAAAATATTTAAAAGAAAAAAAAAGTTTAAGAAAAGAAAATGGGAAATACCACTAATAGGAAAGTGGTACCTAATGCCTAACTTACTCTGGGTTTCCATCTTCTGGTTCTGCTTATGCTTCAAGTAAATGCTTGTCATATTTGTAAGGATAGCTTTTCTAGCTATCCTTAGAAGAAAGTCCAGTATTAACAGAAGTAGAAATCTGATGTATGCTTTTATCTTTATTCTTCCCCTCCACCCACTGGATTCATTTTCTTGCTATTTTCTATTTTTTAACCTTTTTAAAAAACTGACCGCTTAGTAAAATTTTCTGATTTCCCGATAAATGCTTTTAATGCTATACACTTTCACATGTTACTGTGTTGGCCATTCCAACAAGATTCACTAAACATTCTCCCTTAATGTCATTCATGTCCCAATAGTTTGTAATTTCCATTTTGATTTTCTTTTTAATCTAAGAGTCATACAGAAAGGTGATTTTATTTTCTTGCAAATAGTTGCGGTTTTGTTTTTTGTTTTGAAAGGTTCCATTCTTTTGTTATTAAATTATAGTTATTACATTGTGGTCAGATTGTATATGGTCTTCTTAGAATTATCAAAATGTTTTTATAGTCTCATAATTGTTTCTTTTTCTGAACATTCCATGTGTCTTGTTAAAATATGTATTCTCTGTTTATTAACTTGATTTTGTTATTTAGATCCTCTATAACCTTACTTACTTTTGTCTACTTGATTTGTTAACTTCTGAGAGATACATTTTAGTATCCCCAAAATATTATGTATTTGTGGATTCATCAAATTTTCTTGCATTTCAGGACAGCTGGGTGGCTCAGTCAGTTAAGCGTCTGCCTTTGGCTCAGGTCATGATCCCAGGGTCCTGGGATCAAGTTCTGCATCGGGCTCCTTGCTCAGCGGGAAGCCTGCTTCTCCCTCTGCCTGCTGCTCCCCCTGCTTGTGCTCTCTCTCTTACAAATAAATAAAATCTTAAAAAAAAAAAAGCTGTATTAAAAAAAATTTTTTTCTTGTATTTCCAACAGTTTTTGTTTTATATTTTGAAATCTGTTGTTAGATTCATAAAGGTTCATGACTATTATATATTCTTGATGAATAGCACCTCTCATAAATCTAAAATATTAAATTGCTTTGGTTTTAATATTGTTACTCCTACTTTATTTTTTATTCATGTGTTTGATATATCTTTATTCATCCCTCTATTTCCAGTTATTTTGATTTAGAAGTATCTCTCGTAAATACCATGTAGCTGGATTTTTTCTTACCCAGCAAGCGAATCTTTAAATAGCAAAAATTATTTTTATAATTTGAATGAACGCTTAAAACTAAATACATGAAATTGAATAAAATTAAGACATAATAAATGGATACCTTAGAGGAAATATAAATGGCCTTAAACATATACAAAAATGTTCAACTTCACTTGCAATGAAAGAAAGACAAATCAAAACTACGTAAGAGACCATTTTTCACCTATGAGGTTGGCAAAGATCAAAAGCTTGATATCATTATGTAGTTGAAGGTATAGGGAAACAAACCCTTAATCATGGTTCAAAGGAATACAAATTACTACAGAGCATTCACAATTTAAATTGCACTTGGGGGGCGCCTGGGTGGCTCAGTCGTTAAGTGTCTGCCTTCAGCTCAGATCATGATCCCAGGGTCCTGGGATCGAGCCCCGCATAGGGCTCCCTGCTCAGCGGGAAGCCTGCTTCTCCCTCTCCCACTCCCCCTGCTTGTGTTCCCTCTCTCGCTGTGTCTCTCTCTGTCAAATAAATAAATAAAATCTTAAAAAATAAATAAAAATAAAAAATAAATTGCACTTACCTTATGAGCCAGTAATCCTACAGGGATTTCTTCTACAAATTCTTGCACATGTGCAAAATCACAAATACGGAGTGATATTTATTTATTTATTTATTTATTTATTTATTTATTAAGATTTTATTTATTTGTTTGACAGAGAGAGAGAGACAGCAAGAGAGGGAACAGAAGCAGGGGGAGTGGGAAAGGGAGAAGCAGGCTTCCTGCCAAGCAGGGAGCCCGTTACAGGGCTCAATCCCAGGACCCTGAGCCGAAGGCAGTTGCTTAACCAACTGACCCACCCAGGTGCCCCATGGAGGGATATTTATCACAGCATTGCTTGAACAGATAAAATATTAGAAACAACATAAGTGCTCATCAGTAGGGGACTAATGAGGTAAATGATGGTTAACCATCATTCAATGACTGAAATCATTTGCATTTGCATATCATTGAAAACAATGATACAGCTCTATCGATATACTGATCTACAACAATTTCTAAGATCTATTTTTTTAAAAAAGATTTTATTTATTTGACAGAGAGAGACACAGCGAGAGAGGGAACACAAGCAGGGGGAGTGGGAGAGGGAGAGGCAGACTTCCCACAGAGCAGGGAGCCCGATGCGGGGCTCGATCCCAGGACGCTGGGGATCTTGACCTGAGCCAAAGGCAGACGCTTAACAACTAAGCCACCCAGGCGCCCCTAAGATCTATTTTTTTAAGTAAAAAGAGTAAGAGGCAAACCAGTGTTACAGTAGGCTACCCTATAATTAAGCCAACATTTGCACATGCGTAGACTCTCTCTGGAAGGATATACTAGATATTACTATTTGTAATGGTATCTGCCTCAGGAACAAAGGTGGCAGGGACACAACTCCCCAGCACACTCTCTTGGACTCTTTGAGTTATGTAATATGTACATGTAATACCTAGTTTTTTCAAGTGGCTTATTCAAAAGTCACATAGCAAGGACGTTTTCTTTTGACCTTTCTGAAAACTTGTTTCCCAAAGTGATGTCTGGCTATCTATTATCCTGGTCACTTTGGTCCTCACTAGAGTCAAAACTTTAGTGAAAGCAATAATAATGTATTAAAATAATCAAAGCTGTATATATATGGCACCTTCTTTTTTTCTTTCTTTCCTTCTTCCTTGTTTTCTTTCTTTTCTATTTTCAGTAGGGGGGATATCTAGAAAGAAGTATGTTGGGGAAATTGTATAATTGAAGATATCCATGAATTAAGTACAAGGACAAATAGTGTGAATAAAAATTGGTTGTAGCAGCGTCTGGATGGCTGTCAGTTCCCTGTCTGACTCCTGATTTCAGCTCAGGTCATGATCTCAGGGTCTTGGAGCCTGCTTAAGATTCTCTCTCCCTCTCCTTCTGCCCCTCCCCCTCTAAAAAAATTTGAGATGCGAAAATA